AAAGAGTGTGGTAGCAATACTTGGAATTGTTTCACAAGGCCATTAGGATCTTCTCCTATTTTAGCAATGGTTGGTCATCCCATTTAGCCAGGCAAAACAAATCACTAATCAAATTTAGCTTTGTATGTATATTTTCAGTAATAAAGACTTTGCTTCTTGACTGCTGCTGAAGCAAGTCTGTGACGTTTTGTAATAACTTTATATAAACTGTTTAGAGCTGAATCTAGAAGAATTAAGGAATAATCTAATCAGACAGTTGACAAAAGACTCCAACAGAGCATCCAGAATTTTAGTATGAATAGAGAAAGGAGAGAGTCAGGACTGTGCAATATCAAATTAAAATCTGTTTTTTGTCCTTTAGGCCAGGAGCTTCTGTGGCAAGCCACTGTTGTTATTACAAAAATGCCCCCACACAAAACACGGAAGAAGACAAAATCCCTACTGCAAGGAATTTACAATCTAAATAAAGCACATGGATTAGTATAGTACACTCATACATGCAGGGGCTGAATTCTCAATTCTGTGTTTTTTTATTTGGAGGAGGTTAACACTTAAATACAGTGAGGAAGAAATAGGTCTTGGGAAAACGGTTGACAGTGAGGTGGAATGTGCTCACGAGAGGAAGACTAAGGATCTCTTAACCATGGAAAAATGCTCAATTATGAGAGCGAGAGAGGTAAGCGAAGGGTCAGATGAATTTGGCAAGACTGTCAGGAGTCCTTATGAGATCCAGCCATCAGGTCACTATATCTCCTGCGCGGTGCCCCTTCGGTCATGCTGGAGTCAGAAGGAATCGTTACATTGATTTTAACAGCTTTTGGGTCAGAGTCCTTTCCTGCAGATGAACGGGAAGGTAGGAGAGACCCAGATGTGTGAAAACAGCACTGCCCTGAGGTGTTTTAGGAGGCTAAGGACATTCAGAATCGAATTTTCAAAAATGAGACCTACCTATATTTCCTCCAATTTCATGTAAACTTTGGATCTGGCCTCTCATGTTCTGTGATGAACCACGGCTAGGATAGAAAAAAACCTTCAGTTTGTCTTCCTGTTATAACCACTGCCTTATCAACCACCATCTATATTAAGATAAAAATTGATATTTTTGCCCCTGTGAACTTACTTATCAAAAGCAAGGACTTCCACCAACCGGAGCACTGCAGAATACTGAATCTGCTACAGAGGTAGATCACTGTGTCACAGTTAACTAAGCCTTCTATGACAGTATTTGTTTTTTATTATTTATTAAAAGACAATTATGTAGTAACATGGGAAGACTTTACAGAAAAGACTTTCAGATACAATTTACCATTTTCCATAACTGTTAATAATTATTACCTTACAGAAATAAAAACATTAATGTTTTATGGGCAAATGTAAGACGATCCCTCTGGGTTCTCTGTGCAGCAAGTCTATAAAAGGTATGTTTTTAGTCGTGGCATAACAGAGGGCAGATTGATTCTGTATGGGAGCCAATTATTAAGTAAAATATAAGGAACAAAATCAGTGGTTAAAATTTCTATGACCAACGTAACCATAAATTAGCAATTTTAGATTAGAAAAAGAGTCCTTGTAACACAATGAGTCTTTGAAAAGGGGACAATTTATTCATTAATGATTCTGACATTATTGCTCAGGAAAAACAAAATGTTCTGATTTACCCACCTGTTTTCACAGTGGAATCGAGCCAGGATGTCTTTGGCTTTTGTTTGGCTGTTGAGTTGAATTGCCATAGAGACTTTTGAATGCAGCGGAGCATAAACTCTTATCACCCCCTCGGGTATGTCAGACTGCAGGTATGGGGGAAAAGTGACAGCTCCCTAAAATCAATATTCAGTAGAGTAAGACTAAGGCAAATATTGCTGTAGCTCCATTCAGAAGCAGTTCTGCAACTCTTTTAAGGTTGTTTGCAGAAATCACTGTCCTGGATTCGCTTAATTATTCAAAACCCACATTTATAGTCATGCAAACACAAGTTTACAGATACAGTATAATAAGATGCAACACAAAGACACAAACTCCTTAGTAAGCATCACATAAATGCACGCAGAATAAAGTCCAGCCCTTGAATTTTAATTGCTTGCAGTAATATTGAGTCGTTATCTGAGATTTTTTAAGTTATTTCTGTTAACATTGGTCAGTGAACCAACTGCTTATTTAAAAGTACATAAAAATGACTAGGAATATCTGGTCTTCCTTTTAAAGATTAAATTGTCCTGAGGCACAAAGATCCAGTTCTCTGTTTCCCCTTCCTATAGCTTCACCTAGATCTAAGCTTATGTACAGTAAAATATCGAAGTACCATATGGTTTCTGTTAATTTGAAATTTGACCTTGTGTAGGGTTCAAACGATCATCTATGAAGTTTATGCACTCTTCCATGATTAATGGTGGATAAATCAATTAGCAAGGTTTGCATTCCAGTTCTAATCCAATTAATACCATGCTGAGGAGAGTACAATAGTCTCTCCAGTCTCTGTCCCTGTGTAATTTAGAACATCTGAGACCCGGGGGGTGTGTTAAGTGCTCTCAAAATTCAACTCAGTTATCCAAACAGAGTTTGCCTCGAATTTACCCTTCATATTTCAGCTACCTGCAATGGCTAGCCTTGCTTTTATTAGATGCAAAGCCAATTACTACGATCAATGGACTTGCCTTCCCGAAGGTGCAATGACTGCAGTAACTGACTCTCCTTAGAAGCTCTCACTGTATTTGTTCCAGGGTGAATACAGTTTTGCAATGCAGTAGTCTACACTGCCATTTTAAAGAAATATCTGTGTCTCCATCTGCAGCACAAATGTGTGTCCTACCCACAGCGTATTTCAGTCAATGCTGGCAAATGAATTCTCCAAAAAGCTGAATTAACATGGATTCACGATTCATACGTATTCTTTTTCTTTCTCTTTTTTTCCCAGACATACCCTTCTGCATTTTCTTTGTTGTCTGTATTAGGTGGCTTATTCTCTATTTCTTATAATCTCTTAATTTCGCTCCTTCCTAATTTGTCTTTTCTTTTGTTCTTCAAGACTATTCTTCAATACCTATAGAGTCCTTGACCAGTTCCTTGATTATTGCTCTTACAATTCACCAATCTCTGTTCTTTTAAACCGCCATGGAAGACTCTAAAGACTTTCTCTCCAGGTTATTAAAGGCAGTTACTACATGGAAATACTACATATAAGCTGCCATAGGGACTGTGTATGTTGTGCACGTGTACACAGCCTGCTTTGTTGCCCAAATTATATGTTATACCTAATACATAAGTTAATTTTAGGTGTCTATTGAAGTAGCATACCTCAAGTAAGTTCCTAAACTCCATATCCGCGCAGTGGAGAAAAGTTGGTGGCTTTAAGACCTCCAAAGGAAGATTTTTGTATCAGACTTTCCTAAGTCTGAACTTCACCTGGAGCTCTGGAAATCCTCAAAAATATCCACCTCTCTCCTCTGACTACATGGGGAATAACAACACAAACTACTTCATTAGGCACTTAAAATTTAGACCCAGTTTTGGTGTCTATGTTAGGCAAACAGGATTTTCTCTCTGCTTAGGAATTTAGTGCAAAATTGTAAAACTAAAGCTTGCAAGAAGAATATTGAGTGGCCTGGACCAGGGCATGGGTAAGTGCAATTAATCCTAATGTGGACCATCGTCCTACTCAACTGCAGATCCATGCATTTGTTGAGTATCTACAGATCATTGCTGTCAAGGACAGTCCACATATGACCATTTGCTTATAAAACAGGTACAAAACCAGCCTGTGTTTATAACAACTTATAACTTGGGCTGCTAGAAATCATTCTGCCTTTCTCACCTTTTCTCAGTCAATCCCCAAAGCTTTCTCTTATCAGGATGTTGGACTGGGAAGCACATCCTTCAAGACAGCTCCCAGATCAGCTTCTTTTGTATGGTAAAATTTCCTCCCCGCCCCCAGAAGCTTTTATGAGATAAGAAAGGAGGGAGACTGCTTAAACCTGCCCTTGAAGATGATATATTTTTATCACACCTCTGGTCTTTCAGGTCTCTCCCGTTCCATCGTCTTTCTCCTCAGAAGTTTTCTCACTCCTTTGTCAAACATCAGCTGCCTCTTGCTGTTGTTCATTGCTGCCTCATTCATTTTTCTCACTTGGGAAATCAGGAAGGATGGCACCTAAAGGGAGGAAACCAGAGCTGAGAATGTACAGTAATTTTTCCCCCCATAAAATTGGTGTTGGGGCTTTAGAAAGGCACCAAATTTTAGGCAGCAGAAGCTCTATTTATTCCCAGAAGATACATGCAATTAGTAGCTCCCCCTAACAACCCACGATTATTCCTTTGGTGAAACTGTAGATCATCTTTCATACCATATGAAATGTTTTAGTGATGTTTGCAGTTGTATCCTCCTTCATTAGGAGGTAGCCTTTGCAATCCCCATCATACCGTCCCTCTGTTATGAGGAAATGAGCCGAGACTGTTGTCATCCTCATGCCAACCTTCAGAAGTCCAGCAAGTAGCATGCACTTTTGGCCCGTATTATTATGGGCTAGACTTCAAACAGTCATTTAATAATCTCATTCAAGTTTAGGTATCTCACCTAGGCATCCAGATTAAATCACTCTCCTATGCATTCTTCTGTATAAACAATGGTGTTGGATAGGTACCTCCCGAGGGCAATTCGTGCTAAAATGGATGTCTTAGTGACATTGGTGAAGTAAATCTCCATCCAGAGGTATCTGTCACCCTATCTCATTCTAGATATAGAAGACTTCAGCCAGTTTCCAAAGAATAGCTGACTGTTTCTTCTAGGAAGGTCAGTTTACTCTGATTTCTACAGAGCTGCTGCATGTAGCAAAATACTTCTCTGTGCTGGAGCCATGAAGAGGGAACCAGCATTACTCACTGTCCACAGGATGTCCTGGTACCGAATTAAAAGCCGCACAATGTGTGCTGTGGTGGCGGCTGCTTGCATTTCTTGTTGGTTTGCACGTTTCCCTTTGTAGATGAAGAGGTTTGGTGCAACAATCATAGAAACATTCCACAAATTCATTTTGTTTTTCCCTTCATTAGCAACCACCTTCTTCAGGAACTGAAGAAAGGCCTGGAAAAACAACACTCGTTATGCTGAATCTCACAAAATAGTTTACTTCTTGAATGCAACATTTTCAAATGCACAACATGTCTGGCTCGAAAGCTGGTATATTTACACTTGGAGGTGACATTTAGGGGTTTTTGCATTCTAATTTGGATTACTCTGATATTTGCTGGCACAACCAACCATGTCAATCACAGAGGAATAGTTAATGTTATTAAAATACACATTAATAATTTATCTATCACTTAAAGTATAATCCCGAATCTGTAAATCAAGTACAGTGTCTGCACTAAGGCTCTGAGTCCTGTAGTAGAGGAAAGATAGAAAGGTGTTGCAATGGAATAGTTAATTTCTTCACAGATTTCAAGGTGTCCGTTTTGATGTATCTGGCCAAGGCTTTTTATATTGCAGTCACCAGGGTGATCAGCCTCTCTTCAAATGTGCACCAGTCCCATATGTGATATAATCTGAGGAATTTCTGCCAGCACCCCCCAAACTTTTATTCTGGGATGAAAGCAAGAAGTGCTCCGTGGATGTTCGTTGATGTCACTTTTGCACATGCATGGCAGAGTCAAAGGAAACTCATTTCCCTTTTGGGCAGTTTATTCAGAATTTTACTTGAGTGACTGAATAGAATGGATTGCAGCTGTGGTTGGATTTGGGGTCTGCCAATGAGTCTTTTGCAACACCATACCATTAAAACCACTGTTTTTGTACCCTGACATTGCAATTAAAACATTTTTACAAACCCAGGAATTACAAAACAGAAACTGTGTTGGAGAAATTTCTGAAACCTCATTATAGATAGCAAGTAGAGATGCATTCAGTTTTTCATCACTTCTATTTTCGTATAAAAGCCTAGTAATAATAATAAAGACTACTCATCTAGCACATGTTTTACGTATATTGCTCTATATAGATGCAGACTTTGATAGAAGAAATAACGCCCATTCTTCACAGAGCACTAGTAGACCTCCAAATGCTTTAAAGAGGGTTGTTATTCTTGTCCCTTTTTATTGTATAAATAAATACAGGTAAAAAAGGCACCTGGACTCATAAAGCTGTATCTAAACTGACTAGTGGGAGACTTTCAGAGGTGGAGGACCTGCAGGGTCCTGGTGAGCAGGGCACCTGATGAAATGTCTGGGGGTTCCCAGGCACCTTGTTCACCCAGGTTTCCTTTATGTGGAAACAAGTCCAAAAAGGCAACCAATGTCTCTTAGGGTCAGGACATAGCTGCAGCTCGATCTGGGAGCTCCCAAGAACCCAAAATGCTTGTAGCCAATGTGTCTATATCAGGAAGTAGTACATGGGTGTGGGTTTGTAAGACAAAACAGCTGAGGCTGAGGCCCTGATATCCGTGCTACAGATTTATGCTTCAGGGGTTTTTACTTTGGACTACCTCCTCCAGTCTAGTCCAGTGCCCTGGAAGACCTTCAGCCCTGGGAGTGCACTAGACAAGCTCATGGGGGACAGCTTCTTGTCTAACTTCATCCCAGAGAATACCAGTTATACAGAAAACCCAGAAACTGGACCTTCTTTTTCCAAACTATGTGAGGAACATGCCTCTTTGAAATGGGTGCTCCAGAATAAATGATGCCTGGGAGCGATTTGCTAACACCAGCAGTTGGATAATGCCAGCAACTATTTCTTAATTGCTTGTAGGAAAAGTAACAGCCAGGGAACTGGAATGTCTTTTCAAAGAAATGATAAAAAACACAGATAAATACTTTCACAGTGCAGCATCTGATCAACTGACTGTTAGGGAAAAAAAAAAGTGTCTCTCATTTAAAAGTCAAAGGCACCACAGATGGCAGGTGATATCAAACAAAGAACTTACCTTGGCTGTGTCTCTGTTGGCTTCAGGCAGCAGCATGATCAACAGATGCAATGCTTGTAGCTGTAACTTGATCTTGGAGATTTCTGAGAATATGAATAATTAATTTTTTTAAAATCCCAATTGCAATTCGTTTGTTCTAAAATCCTTGTTGGTCACCAGTTCTAGAAACACAGCAACCACTGCCTGGTTGAGACTACTATGTTTAGATATTTATTAACCATAATCTTTTCCCAAAGTATAAAACCAATTGTAATGAGTGGATTTTTTATCATCATCTTGGGTCTTTGTCGCAGGGGGAGACAAGGCTCTATAAAATTCCGTCTAAATAGCAAGGAGCCAATATTTTTCAGTAGTAGCTGGTTTCTCTTCCAATATCGTGGTTAGAACGTGTTCTATATGGATCAAGTATTTTCCTCCTTTCAAACTGAAATGGATTTTTTTTTTTCAGAAATTTTTCAGACTGTTGTTATTGATTAATTTGCTGAAAGCTTGTGCCATTGGAGTGGAGATTGATTGCTTATAACTTAAAAAGTATTTGTCCCAAGTCTAGCGCTCTAGATAAATGTAGAGCCTCTTGTCAGTTACAAAATACCATCATGTTTTCAGCAATTGGTATATATTGAGACTGTGTAATGCTCACTAGAAGAGCTGGGGTGGAGACAATGGGAAGATAACTGTCATTTGCTTCCACTCAGGGTGGATGAGAGAGGTTTGGAGAAAAAAAAAACAGTGAGTGTTGTGGACAGTGTATCTGTTGGAGGGAATAAAGTCACTTTATTCTACACAGACCCCTCATGTTCAGGCTTCTCCAAACTGCTAAGCAATCGTAACTGCATGAAGCCTGGGACTCACAAGGAGTGCACTGAGGTACGTGAAGGTTACAGGAAGGGGTCACCTCCTTGTGCCCTTTAAACTGCCTCTTGAGGACACTGAAAACTTGGCTGCAACCTTATATAAACGTTCCAGGTTTTCTGTACCAATTTGCCTAATAAATTTACCATCCCGAGTGTTTCACTCTGTCCTAGCTCAAGTGAATTTACAATGAAGTCAATAGGTATTGCAAGGTACTACTTCATTCTTCCTGGAAGAGAAATGAACAAAACGTACTGAGAATGAGAGGGTGTATGTACACTGAAAACAAAACCCGACTGCCTGAAGCTTTCTGTGATCACATATATCGTTGTACAAATATTCTGACCTCAGCATAAACCCAGAGAGAAATAAAATAGATCCAATAGAATATCAGCTAAAGGGCAGTAACCTGAATTTACCTTGCAGAAATTTTCATTTGTGAAATCTATAATTTGTGTGACTCAGAGTCTATATAAGAAAGTCATTGCTCAGCCAGCGTTTGCTCACAGATTTCAAATCTCATATTAAACAGTTATGTCACTCACACAATGACTCTATGCTCTTAGCTAAATGCAGAGACTTTTTTCCATTTGAAAAGGAAAGCTTGCAGAAAATTTAAATGCTTAGGCAATGTACTGGGCCTTTTTTTCTCTCTACTTCAGAGAGAGAAAAAATTCCATGTTTTTTTTCTCTCTACTTCAGAGAGACAAAAAAAAGGTAACGTCTACTATTACATTTTATCTAGATCAGTCCATACTAACTGCTTTTCCACCTACTTTCCACAAGCATGATGAAAGCAGGCAGATATTCTACTGTGAAGAGTGGGCTTGGGAGTTCTCTTATAAACATTTTCAGCAGTCCTGCTGCATCATTATTTCGTACTTGGTCCCAGTCAAAAGTGTCTTCATAAAATTTTGCCTCGAGTTCTTGATGGAGATTCTGAAAGAGAAAAGGAACATCTGACCTTTAATCATTGCTTCTGACCCGGCAGTTTGAGATCACTTCAGCAATCCCATTACAAACAACAGGCAGGTTTACACCATAGTTGAATTAAAGTAGCCCTAAACCAGTAGCAGTCTAGGTACAGCTGCGCGGAGTTCAGAGCAGGTTAACAGATCAGATTCCTGGGGATATTTTGCAACCCAGGCTAAGTTTGGTTTGCCATAGCTACATTTCTGCCAGTGACCCATTCGAACCATTTCAAAGCAAGACAATTTTGTGCAATGTCTTAGAACTAGAAACAGAAAATTCAGTTAAATAGAATTTTTAGCACAGCTCTTCTTTTTATTTAAAACACTCTCCTCCTCACTGCCAGTGAACTTGCTAGACAATCTGTTGGCATCCGAGTCCATGGGCCTTGAGCAAATGGCTTTAACTTCAGGTCTTCCTGTCTTTAGAATGATGTTTTCTTTTAGGATAGCTATAATTAGATTTGATCATTTCATAGAAAAATAAAGGTATAAAACCATTACTGTCAGAAAACCTCCATTTAATACACGCCAAAAAACCCTGTCAAAAACCACAAGAGAGATCTAAGACAGAATTGATTATACCTTTTTGGGTTCCCACGTAATTCTCTTGTTCTCCAATGTCAGCATCTTGCTCTATAACTGGTCTATTTAGTTCTGGAGGGTAACTAATCAATGTTTCACACAATATGAAGGGAAATATTCAGCAAGGTTCCTAGTAGGAACAGAATTTGGCTTCAAACCCAGATCACAGTTTGGAAAAAAGCAAGCTCCTCAAAAATTTGTTGGGTTAATAAGACTGTAGGAGGCTATTGTAATATAAGGATATCCATAAATAATGCAGCTTTCACAAATATTACTGGCCAAACACTGCCTTATCCATAGGAAGTTTGTTGTTGCTTTTTGTGAGACGATTTATAACAAAATATGTCTGTAGCTAATATTCAGGTTTCAGATCATGTTTTTGTCAAATATACTTTAACATTATGCAGAAAAGTTTAGTCCATTCAGACAGAAAAGCTTCTAGAAATGAATTCTGTTTACCATGTCTCACATGAATGGAAGGAAATTACATATCAAATATGTCACACATAATGAATTGGAATGGTTGGCACAAAAGGAAATAGAAAGTCATTCAGGATTTGGTATATAATGTTACAATCTCATTTTTACTAGCACATTTTACTGGTTGTAATCTGGGCTATCTCAGTTTCCTCTGTATTCACATCCTTTGCACATAATCCATACAAACACCTGGATTAAATTCTCTCCTGGTAACTGACTGGGAAGTGTGGAACAGAAATCCTCACCTCATCAAAATCACAAGGGGAGAGAAAAACTACTCCACATTTTTCTGCTGAGAACTGGGAAAAAGCCGTAGAATAGAAAGCAAGATTTTTGAAACATAAACATTTTATATATATATATCCACACAAGCAAGCATATATGTGTATTTTTATATACTCATCTCCCCATATACATATATATATGCACCTAAGTACTTTTAAAAAATGCTTTTGCAATTTTTTTAAAACATGACTGATCCTGCAGTAGACTATCATGTATTTTTGGTTCACTGGAGCTTTTGTTACAAACCAGATTACAGACAGAGGAAAACTTGTATTTATTTCTTCTATTCTTTGTTTTATATGAAAGTAACCTTTAATCACTTCCATATGTCTTTTCTTTCTCCAAACAAGACTGAAATAAAATTGGAATGTCCTCAAATCCTAATGTCATAATAATGTATGAAGGCTTTGAAGGATGAAATCTGGATCTGCTTTGAAAAAATCTCTCTCTTGCTGATTGGCTTGTTGGAAATGAAGCCAAAACTCAAATAATTTAAAACTTTCATATGGGCAGTTTAACTTACCACCCAGTATAGGAGAGTTATATATAAAGTCATATCTCATAGCAGCTCCCTGGATATAACTTGTGAATAAGAAGTGAACAAGACACAGTACAGTATATGCAAAGAATATGAGAGTAATTTAATTAGGTAGAGCACAGCCCTGCGGTGTAATCTCCCTGGAGAGTTTGGAAAAAATTGAGATTGTGTGAAATAATACTTTAAGTATTTGTATGAAAAAACGAGGAAGCTGAAAGTACAGGCCAAATTAGGAGTGCCCTTCTGCAAGATGTGGCACCTCGCAAGGTGCTGAGAACTTTTATCAATCCACAGGGTCAAAGGGAGCTAGGATGCTACTGCCTATCTTCGATGCATTTCATGTAATGCCACTTTTTCTTGTACAGTTATTTTTATGATCCTCAGCCCATCAACGTTTAGCAGTCCCCAACATTACTTTTTGTGTGGCTGCCACGACATTGAGAAAAAAATGTTGCCTCAAAAAGCAAGGCAAGCTTTCTTGAGGATGAGAAAGTGGGAGTGGGATGCACTATAAGAAGCTGTTTAAACCAGATGATTAAAAAAAAACAACAGAAAAAACAAAAATCTGGGAAACAGGTAGACACTAGTAAGCCCAGAAAAAACTTGTTTTCCTAATTTGCCTCTACCAAAGGCTTCCAGCTCCTGGAATCAAGTTAGTCTGCAGAAAGAATTGCAAGCATTACTGCACCACAATGTCAGGTTATTGGGTACCAACTATCTTGTGCTCATAGCCCACAAAGCGCCTGTGAAAATGCAGTACTTGAGGCTGCCGAACAGTAAACACAGGCCAAATTTCTCTCACTCGGAACATGAAATTGTAAGATAACAGAAGATAAATGAGAAATAAAATGACACAAAGGTTAAAATGACATAGAATAAGATCTTTATCTAAAGTTCGCTCAGTTTAGCAACTCTGGATTTCTGAAATAAATTAAAACAGAGATAAGATCACAGCAGTTTTGGACAACAGAGATAAACTGAAAGGATTCCTCAATGTTTAGTAGAGAAAAACTGCATTCAACATAAAGTCTGTGCTTTATATAGAACATTAACAAATGCAAAGCAATAGACCACGTGTTCTGTGATTTATTGGTTCCCAGGAACCAATCTGACCTTTCACTGGTTGGAGTAGAAATGCTGATCTACACGCATCAGTATTTATGTGCAGTGTGCATTTGTGTGTGCTGTAATATTTTACATAGGGTCTGTGGTCCAGGAGACAGAAAACTGGCACGGGCATGTACCTTGACTCTGGAGGCAGATCCAGGCACTCGTAGAATTCCTTCTGTTTCCAAACCTGTTTCCTCAAGCTTGAGCAGCAACTGAAAAAAACCCAACAAAACCCAGGAAAATACTCAGAAGCACTTAAAAATACTATTAACCTTTTTTCAATCTAGGTATCCTTGAAACTAATTTGAAAAAGATACATTTCTATGTAATTTGCTAATGAAAACAAGCCAGCTCATGTAAGTAAACCTTCCTATTTGTTCTCCATATTCATGACCCTGAAATATGAAGTATGCAGAGTACAGAAAACTGATAATGCAACAGGCCCCTCTGTCCTTGATTAGAGGCTTGGCACTGCTATAGAACAATTAACACATAAACTTATTAAGAAAAGGGCAGATATACTGGATAAAACACAATGGTGTTTTGAGGGAAAATTAACCTCTGAGAAATGTTTAAGCCTTTCCCCGAGGAGCACAATGGAAAGGTCTATAGATAACATACGTTTCTGGGAACTGAGAACTCAGATTAGAAAATGATCCCAGGATATTTTATTTTGAAATTTCTGTGAACAGAGGAATAGGCTTTCCACTCTAATTCTTTATAAAAAAAAAATGTTTTGATTTAACATAATTTAGAACAAGGGGGAAAAAAAAAATCGTTTCCTAGCATTTATTCATACACCTCTGGCTTTTCACCACCATCTCTGCTTCCTGCCCTAGCTGTTGGATCCTTCTAATTTCCCATGGTATCTTGACAGGGGAGCTGTGGAGCTGATTGCAAAGTCATGTAAATATTCAAGTCATGTCAGTCTTTCCCCTGGCGGTCCACACCACTTCCCCTTTTGTCAGTATTTACAGGGAAATTTGTTGTAGTTTCGAGTCCATGTAAACCTGTGTAATTGCACGTGTTCTTCTATCTGTGTACCTGCCTCCAAGACATTCGCTGAATGTCATTGTACTGTCAATGTATAAATGATGTTGCCTTGTTATACAAACCTCAACAAGAAGATACCACTTCCATTCTGGAAATAGTAGCTAAGTAATACCTATGATTTGAATTCGCATGAAATTAAAACTCCTGAGACACCTCATCTGTGCGACTTCTGCACACATACACGGTTTTGCATGGCTCTCTAATTTAATGAGAAAGGGAAACAGAAAGCCAGACATTTGTTTCCCAAAGTTTCTTGTACAGTACCATATAATTACAAAAATGGAAAGAGGTCCCCATCACAGATAAAACACACAAAAGGAGCAAATTTTGTCTCTTGTCACAAGGTTTTCAAACCACAACATACAGACAGACAACCTGTAGACACCTTCGAGTCTGTAAAGCCTACATCTTCTTTACCTGATGTCTGCGTTGAATGTCAATGCAAATGATGGAAATGTGAATGTTAGTGGCTGTGCAGGCTGAGTTATACTCACTTTTTGGAAGATGAGGGGAACTTTTATTCCAGGAACCTTCTTTTGATCATTCTCCAGCAATACGGTAAGAGGGACTCCAAACAGACCATTTTCTTAAAAATAATAACAACACGTGAAAAAGAGGAAACACAACCTCATACATGTCATCTTTACAATGCTGAGTGGCGCCCAGGTGGCCACCATGGGACGCCACAGCACAGTACCTCGTCCCCGCACCCTCTCTGCGCGGTTCCTCTTCAGCTCCACCCCCAATGCATCATAGAAGGCTGTTAGCTCAATCAGGGAGAGGTAGCGGATCTTCTTCATGTCTTCAGGAGAGAGGTCTCCAACCTCTGTCAGTCCAAACCGGCTTTTCCGAACAATGAATTTCTACAGTAGAGATGGGTCGTATCTTTATTTGCATAAAAATTGCAGGATGTGAATTTTTGTTTTGAAATAGATGCCCGTGATAGGAAGTCATATTAGGGTAAATGGTTAACATCAAAGAGCTGAACTACAACCCTGTATATTTGCTTGGTATGTTGACATAACTTGCATCCTTCTGAAACATAAAATTGAGCTTTTTGCTTATCATGTTCCCTTGCAGTTTGTCTGGTAAGCGATGCTGGAGCAGAGGTGTTAACCTCACTGTCTGTACTCCAGCTGGGACAAATGAGCTACATGCTAACTAAACTTTTGCCCAGTTCCCCCAGAGTGTCTTTGAATGCTGTTGAAGTAGCTGACACATTTCATCATGGATATGGTTGTATATCAATTGTCTGTGTGTGTGTGTGTGTGTGTAATGAATCCAAGCCTGCTTTGCATATTACTATTAATTTATGAGGTCTTACAGGAGGCTTCAAACTAAAGACCTGAGGAAAAGCCCAGAAGCAAAATCACTTAGTCCTGATGCCAACTTGCCAATTTACTGTTACTTTTTATTACTCGAGAAGCATTTAGGCTTAGAAACAGGACTCCCAGCAGCTAAGAAAGAAAGAATTTATTCAAGTAGGCTTGAACTAAATGATACTTAGTAATTTGAGGGCATGTGAAGATGTCTACATATTTTAGAAACTGCAGTGTCGTGGACCAGCGCCAGGAATTTTGCATCATGACAGAAACATTTGTACAAATGTCAAAAAGAACAAATAGCCATCAGTTTTCGACATAATTGTTAGACATAATAACAAAGTTATAGTAAAAAAACATGCTTTCCAAAGAACTGTGGATCTTCGGTATCAGGTTTTTTTTTTTAATTTATACCAGTAATTGTTAGTCAGACGTATAAATAAATAACATTACAAATCATCTCCTCCCTTTAGGGAACTGAGTGGAAACCCAGCCTTTAATAATGTTTTGCTTCTGGAGATTTCAGCCCAGTCCTCCCTTTTTAAAACAAATTTGGACTCAATAAGTTTAACCCATCTTTAGATGAAGCCAGTCAGATTAAGAAAAAAGCAAACAAAAAGAGAATTAAACTTACACCAAATTTCAAAAGTAAGAGAGGACAAATGACATCTAGATCATGTAGGTTAAGACTTCCTAAATTACATTGCACATGGTCTTTCAATAGGGATTAATCATAATTGGGGGAGAAAGAGCGAAGGGGATGGAATAACTAATTTAAATGCTGTCTGGGGTATTTTAGGCCAGAATCTTCCCTCCCCAGCATGCAGAAATTCCACTGTTACTCTTATGCCAAGACTTAATAATGTAACAAAAGCTACATGGAGGATAGTCATCTGAAGACACATAAAATACTAAAGAATATCTAGGCATTTTGTTTCCGGTGATGCAAAAAGTCCAAAAGCAGTCAAAGCACAATAAATAATCTTGAAAATAAGAAAAAACCACACAGTATACATACATTTTCTGAGGGAAAAGAGAAAAAGTATGTTTGCCAAGAAAAAATGACAAACAAACACTCCAAAACCAACTACAAAAGGCAGCTACAATGATTTTCCATGGTGGCTGGTTGACTCCTTGGGACACTATGATGTGATGCAGTGTTAACACAAGGTTTGGGGCTGGGCCTCTTTCTTCTGTCTTATGTCACAATTTTCCAGTGATTATTCTTACAAACAGAGGAGTCACAAAATGCAGCACTGAAGGAAGCTGTGCTATCCTAAAATTAGATTACTAGCATTTTAGCTAAGGATCGTGTCTGATATTGTGTGACATATTGTTTCTATGTGGAACTGTACGGTGTACTAAGATGGGCCTGAAATGTTTACTGACTCTTAGTTCTGTAATATCTTCAATTAAGTCACATTGATCATGGTCCCACATTGGGGAAATTGCATGTAACCCTATGTAGACAGTGATTTTGAGCTGGCTCTTTTGGGAGCTGTAGGGGACATGCTATTTCATGATATATAACTTCTCTGTGTGCAGCTTGGTATATGCCATCCATGAAGTTGGTTATATTAATGTGTCAGACCTGTTCTGGAGAAAACATGATGTTGTGTAGACGTCAGTCTGGCGCTGTTGGCCCACCTTGACGAAGGAGGGGCAGTCCTTCAGAGTGTAGGTGACTGGTTGCTCTGTGTAACAGAGCAAGAGGTGATTTTTTTTTTTTGCTGGGGCCTATTACAGTCTAAGCCATTATGGGAAAAAACAAATACCATGAGTGGCAGCATATGAAGTAAGAGAAATGCCAATGTCAACATCTACGATTGTTGATTTTATTCAGAAAGTCTCTGTCTGTGATGACCTGGTATATTTCTCGTGTACTCTTCTGAGCATGCAAAATTATGTCCTGCACGCAGAATAGTTCATCTCCAGCACAATACTGGCCTTTTCTAATACTAATCAATTATAGAATCGTAGAATCATAGAATCGTTAAGGTTGGAAAAGACCCTTAGGATCATTGAGTCCAACCGTTAACGTATCACTGCCAAGTCCACCACTAAACCATCTCCTCAAGCACCACGTTTACCCGTCTTTTAAATACCTCCAGGGATGGAGACTCAACCACTTCCCTGGCCAGCCTGTTCCAGTGCCTCAATACCCTTTCCGTGAAGAAGTTTTTCCTAAGATCCAACCTAAACTTTCCCTGGCGCAGCTTGACGCCATTTCCTCTCGTCTTATCACTCGTTACTAGGGAGAAGAGACTGACCCCCACCTCGCTACAACCTGCTTTCAGGCAGTTGTAGAGAGCAATAAGGTCTCCCCTCAGCCTCCTCTTCTCCAGACTAAACAACCCCAGCTCCCTCAGCCGCTCCTCATAAGACTTGTGCTCTAGACCCTTCACCAACTCCGTTGCCCTTCTTTGGACACACTCCAGCACCTCAATGTCCTTCTTGGAGTGAGGGGCCCAAAACTGAACAGAGGACTCGAGGTGCGGCCTCACCAGTGCCGAGTACAGGGGCACTATCAACTCCCTGGTCCTGCTGGCCACACTATTCCTGATACAGGGCAGGATGTCATTGGCCTTCTTGGCCACCTGAGCACACTGCTGGCTCATGTTCAGGCAGCTGTCAACCAACACCCCAAGGTCCTTTTCTGCCAGGCAGCTCTCCAGCCACTCCTTTTGTTGCATTCCAAACTGGGGGCACTCTTTTGCTGGCTGCACGTTCAATTGCGTGCTGAGCTAGGTGTGCAAATAAAGTCACGATTTTATTACTTTAATACTGTTATAAAGTGGCAACCAACTCCATTTTTTAGACTGAATTTTAGCACCTGAAAATTCTTTTTTCTCTTTGTAGATTGTTAGAAAATGTATAGCTTGAATTTATGCACAAAAGCTATAATTTTTCTCATCCGTACCAAGATCTTCACAGCAACTGCAAAGTTGTGTTTAGTAGAATTTATTAGGAAAAGTATTAATCTGTAATCACATTATATACAATAAATATAATACCAAGGGAAAACACCTGTAGCATCCATCCAGTTTTTAACCCAGCGCAGAGTGCACTTATCCAAGCCGTGAGTAGCCGACTTCTCCAGGAGAATGCTGGGGGAGACAGAGTCAAAGGCCTTACTAAAGTCCAAGTAGGCAACATCCACAGCCTTTCCCTCATCCACTAAGCGGATCACCTTGTCATAGAATCACAGAATATGCATCCACAGGTCCATGATATTCAATATGCCATCTTCTCTTCCCTGTTTGTCACCAGTTTCCCTGCTCTATCAACTGGAAATTGTCCAAGCTGTTGCAGAGAACAATTTGTGTGTGTATGTGTGCGCGTGTGTGTGTGTTGTAGTGAAGGCTGGGGTCCTAGGTTTGCTATTACAGGGAGCAAGGATGAATTTTTGGTTTGCCAAAATTATGATGAATGCAGAGATATCCGTAGTCTCCACAGGACACCAAGTTATCCCCACCACAAAAAAACCCAGACACACTAAAGCACAAGGATTTCACACCAGTTGTAATCTACTTGGTGTCTTTTCCCTCCTTTCAACAGGGAAGCTTACTTCTGCATTTCAGGTTCTTCTTCCTTGGTGGTGCCTGAGATGGACAAATGGATAATTCTCAGAGAATTCAATGTCTGTGTGGATAGCAACAATCTCCTATTAGTTCAGGACCTCAGGACATCATAACATTCAGAAAATTCTTCCAAATAATTTACAGCTATTTCATACATTTCACTAAAAAGGTGGTATCTGAAGCACAAACCTAATCTCCAATTTTCAGTAACGGAAGTTGTGAGGGCTGATGGAAACAGAAAACTGAATTCCTTGACTTCAAGAAATAATTACAGATAATGACACAGCTGCTTAGTGTATGTCTGGTTGGATGATATGATAAACTTTCCTTTAACCATTCATGTAGTATCTCCTATAGCGTAATTGCACTGAATACTGTTTGGAGACAATCAGTACTGCTGCAGGACTAAGGCTTGCTTTCCCCCCTTCATCTGTGAAGCAGTTTTAAATCCATGTGTTAACAAAGGCAGATAATCTGTGGGGGAATAAAGTAGGGAAGCAGACCAGTAATGAAAATGATTGCTAGTTTTAGTCCCAGTAACTGGTCTTTATTTCTATGTGAAAAATGTGTGGATGATGCAATATTTGTGGATTGAGTTACACATATTCATCTGTGATGGGTACAAGTATAAACCAGGCTTGGATATCCAGTTTAGCTTTGGTGCCTCTCTGGAAATCAGTCACAAGCGGTAGGCAGGCACAGCGGGCGGTCTCTATAAAGCACACATAGCAAAGGACAGCTAATGTATCATAACGGACTCCGATGTGCTGGGGATATAAAGCAGGAAATTACTGGGTTAAAGAAAACAATTGAGGAAATATGTCAAGGACAAACTTACAGGCAAAGCAGAGTCTTCTTTTTTGAACCTCTGGTTTTTCGGCTGTTCTTGGGTTTTTGGATGGACCATAATGGATTCTGAGAAAGAGACCTCATAGGAGAGCTCTTCTGTTATGGATGGTCTGCCTTTATCTAGTCCGCAGTCTAGACAGCTATTAGCTGAAAATAAGGGAAATTATATATGAATGCTGAATGTATGCTTGCATTTAGTACAGAGACATTAAAAAATTGAACCAAGATGACAAAAATCTTGAGCAAGTATTAAAGGAAGTGCTTCAAAGAGGAATTTCAGTATAAACCACAGCATGTTCCTGTTTTGGCTGGAGGAAATAACCCCTTAGAAATAAAATCCCTATTTTCATTTTATATTATTTAACTTGTTGCTTTTCGTGAGAAACATAGTCAAGCTGGAACTTCCTGTTTATCAGGAATTATCAAGTTTTTGTACTCCATCCTTGTCTACCCAGGCCAGCAAACTGTGTTGGCACTTGTCTAATGAACAATTAAAAATAAAAGGTCCTGACAGAAAAATGCTGTTGACACAGTTTCTCAGGTCACTGTTGACTTATTTACAATCATAAGACATTGTGCTTATATTTTGTATGCTCACATATGTATATTTCTCACAGTTGCTAATTTAGGTGTGTAGCACCAAAACAGGACTCAATGTACTATCTTCCAGTTTGAAAAACACTGTATCTACTGGAATTTCTGGTAGATATTGTGAAGTGACTTAGTGTTCTACTCTAAAATTTAGTCACCTGCTGAAATTAGTGGATGACAAAGGACATTTTTTTAAATCAGTACAATCAAGTACAGAAATACCCTATTGTCATGGAGTCCAAAGTGTGATAACATGCATGAGTTCCAGTGTTGCCAACTTTCATGACTGATCTCTCACATCTCAGGACAATTTTACATTTTCTGTTAAGGTCCAGCTCCTAGACCCACACAACTGGAACAGAATCATAATTTTCATTGGAAGTGAAGCAAAATTTCAGCCCCCAGGACTGCAGAGAAGAGTTTACTAACATGACCCAAGTGCATTCAAAAGCCATGGAAATCAGAAAGTAAATTAAAAAGCATTGCATGTTTTATAAACATGTGCTTGCCCCATGATTTTTGAATCATTGAATTTACAGATACAGGGACTTAAACACTTTTTTTGCAACACCCTTTGTTTTGCAAGTCTGGGATGAAAAAGCTAAGTGTGTTATTAAGTGGCTTCTGAAATGTGGCCTTAGATGTTACCTAATGGCCAAGATGTTTTAAGACATTTTCCATATCTCTTTCCATCCTTGGACCTGGGACCACAGACCTGGCAATTTGGTTTCCCATCTGTTCTAGTACAACTGCTTGTGGAGCAGATGTATCAGCAGAGCAGTGAAATGAACAGTTTTTGCAACCAAGGAAAATGTCTGTGGCACTATATCCAGAGGTAAACATCTAAGAGACTAGTTTTGAAACTTGGGTTTTGATATCCCTTTAGTTAAGCCCTGAACAATGATGATGGGAAGAGCTTTCAAAATGAAAGATGGACATTCCCGTGGAAGGCTGCTGACAGTTATCCAGACACTGAGTAGAGCAGAGCTATCATTTTCATTAGCACTGCCAATCACTGTCAGGGCAAAGTGTTTAAGGAATGTCCAAAATAACACCATTAGTAGATCAGAATAATAGGGCAGAACCAGAAAAATGATACATTTCTAATACTACAGTTTCTGCAGTACTGGAAAAGAAATGTGAAGGAAATATCATCTTTCTTGCCATGATTTGCAACAAGAAAATACACTGCTGACATATTTTGGACAAATTCTGCACCGTATTGTTTAGATGCTCTTTTGACATTCCCAGCCTTGCAACGGTCAGTACTTTTTAGACACCGATGCCTCAAAGGCAGCAGTCTGTGTCTGTACAACACCGGTCATCGATGGGAAACTTTGGTTCCTGCATGACAATAAGTTGACAATGATTTTAAGAATATATATGCAGCACGGCCCCGACAGAGAAGAGGGGACTAACCTGAGAACCACAAAAGGATCTTTCTGTCTATCATTTTCCTAGGAGGAAGTGAACACTGGTTACATGTTTGCATACTCACAGCTAACTGATTTCCAAACTGGCTTCTGCCCAGGAAGCTGGATACCATTAGAAGGAACTGGTGACACTGGAACTGTCTCAAATGTGGGCTGATAGGCAAGGAAAAATGATCAGACTGCAGTGAAGGTAAACGTCTATGGACAGAAACTGCTACAGTTCAAGCAACAGCGTATCATTCTCAGCTTACACTCTTTTGCCAAGTTTAAACAACCTGTTGTCATTCGCCAGAGTACATTTTTCATAGCCAAGCCTGAGAATTAATCTTCCCCAGGCTGCACAGATTTGGATTGTGTTGACGTCAGTAATATTGCAGCTCACTGTAGCTAATGAGTCCTGTCCTATATAATGACTGAAATTAGCTAAGTAAATTGCTGTATGTAATTGTACTAAGTGAAAGGTCCTCATCAAATTGTAATCCATCCTGCTTTTAATCATTTTGGACAGAAATCTTTTTGAGGACTCTCTGACACAAGCTGAATATCCGCTGCTCCCAAGCACCTGTCAGAAATCAGGCTGTTCACCGCCTTCTGGGGTTTGGGCACCAGCAAATTGTTAATGGATGGATGTCCTCCCATAGGTTATATACTAACACTTTATCAGTGAACTGCAAAAACTTTTTTTTGGGGAAAAAAGACCTTTTCTATAGTCAACTTCATTTCTTTCCGCTCCAGAAATCACTATGCACTGTGTGAAAATGGGGGAAGCATGTGTGGCGCAGCAGAGAAAGGGCTCTGAAGCCCAGGGGGTGACTTTCAAGCACTATCACCTCTTCTTGGCAACTGAATTTTGCCCTTGTTCTCAGCAGTTTTGGGAGTCGTCATAAGACAAATCTGAGTGTGTACACAGAGCAGCAGCAGCTCATCTGCATGTTCTTGGGTAAAAAAAAGGTCAAGAATTTAAAAAATCCTCTGAAGGGCACTCAGTGAAAATAAATACAATGCCCCAAACCAGCTTTGTGTTTTTTCTGCTGCCCTTTGCATCCTGGTGGGAGCCCTTGCAGCCTTTCCCAGACCTGCTGTCTCACCCCTGAGGCTGATGGAGCAGCCCCCAGCTTTCCAGATGAGCCTGCAGCAGAGGACCCCAATAAGCCCACAACAGCCACTCTTTAAATTGCTAAATTGGCTGTTTATCAACAAGCAGCAATGCCTCAGGGCAGAAATTTTGTCTTCCCCATTTGTAGCCAATGCACAGGAGCAGCATTCTGGCTGCTAAAAAATGTCAGATATTTAAAAGACAGGCAGCTCTTCCAATTGGAAGCCTGAAATAATGTTGCAGTTGTTTTATTCAGTCTTATCCTCTAAGCTATTTGGGTAACAAAGTCAAATGTAACATGAATAAAATCTCTCCTGAGAGAGTCCATTCAATGGCCCGCAAACTTGATAGGAAACAGGATTTGAGTCCCGTGGACTTCCTTTGCCAGAAGACTGTAAGAACCATTGATTTTTTTTAAAAGGAGAACTGTAGGATGCTTTTATGATAAAATCCCATAACATTTACACAAAAGACTTTAGAACATAAAAAAGCAAGAGAAATTTCAGGTGGGAGCATGGAAGTGGAGGGGATGGTTAAACTTGCCTCAGGAATTTGGGAAAATCAAACACAAAAGTAGTTATTCTGCTGCTTAAGGTCCAGATGGAGAAATTAATGGTAAACATTAGCAACTGGCTCATCTACTTTCACTGCTCAAAATGTCTGACCCTGCAAACAGTATTCAGAATAGATTTACAGTGAGTCAAGTTTATTAAGGAAAAAATCCTTCCAGCCTTGTTACACAGGTGAAATCAATAGTGAAGCAGCTGCAGTAACCAGGTTCTGTTAAGCATGGTGGAGCTGGCGAAGGGGAGCTGACAGCACAACTCTGCCTCGCTCCCAGCAGAGCTTGCAAGAGCCTGCGGGCTGCTCTAGCTTGTGGCAATTGAATGTCATGAACCACGTAGAATACCAGGGGTAGCTAAAACCATCGTATTCTTGGTCTCGTTTCCCAGCATCCACAGGGAGAGCATATAAAGAAACCAAATCTCTGTCTCTCTTGTGAAAATCTCTTCCAAACAGGACCAACAACACCTTCTTCCCCCTTTTTTTTAATCTTAGGATAATATGATACAAAGAAAGGGAAGACTGGGAATAAAACCTTTTCAATGCATGAATTTTAAAGATCCAGATGGTTTCTTTAGTAAAAAATCAAGATTAAAAAACTTTGGAAGCTCATGTCTTAATGAATGGGAAAGGCCAAGAGCCAAACTGTCCTTAACTAAATTGGGGCAGCTTTATTCATTTGGCTGGGGCTCCAGCGAAGGCAAGACTTCTCATATCCTGACTTCTGACTGAATGTGATTCATTAGACAGTTCTCATTACCTGGTACTAAAAATGAGCCCGGTGTTTACTGGCACAATGTACACAGGAATTTCCAATGGGAAGAGGAAACCAAAAGAACAAGGAAAAGATGGAGATGAGGGAGGTAGTTCTTTAGTAGCTACCCTCATTGTAGAAGATGTAAAACCAAATCACTGGAGCACCAAAGCAACCAAATTCTATTGTCAGCCCTGTAGCTAAGAGAGATAAAGGCAAAGGAGGGTAGCCTTATAGCTCTGGTCAGGATACAAGTTGCCCATGCTCTGGATATATTCATATTTCCGAGCACTGTCATCACAAATGCCTTTTCATGCAAATAGCTCTGGATTAGTTAGTGATTCTTCTTTAATTAGGACATGATTTTCTCATGCATTGCTCAAGTAAAATGCTGCTGAAACTCTTGAGGACTTTTAGCTGATCACAACGTACAGGGTTCAGTTATTAATGAGCACGATGCTTCATTTCCTCCCTCCAATAATAAAATCAATGTTTCCCCCCCAATTTGTATTCTGCTGTTGATTTTTCTAGGCTTTGAGCACTAGCAGAGCCGATAGCTTCTGATGGAAACAGCGGGGTACCAGCAGTAAGGAAAATCAGGCCACTGTGATTAGAAACCCTCCAATTTACATCTCCATAGTGTGGCTGTCAGTCAAGCCTGCTGTGTGTAGGCCCGTCTGAAGCAGAGCAGAGGCACCTCAGCTGGGGCAGGCTGCTCCACCAAGGCATCACTCTCGGAAGGGTGAGGTACTGCAGGTGCTACATTTTGTCCCCAGAATCACAGTACCTTTCCAAGGTGGCCAGCAGAAAAAAAAAAAGAACAAACCACAACCCCCCAAAAAGGAAATATGGCTTCATTTCCTTTCATTTCAGTCCGCTTGGGAAGTTGAGGGAACACTCCTGTCCTGAGGGGATGGATGTCAAGGCAGGAAGAGGGAAAAGCACCCTTTACTCTGTGTTGACCCCCACAGACACTGGCAACTGGCCACTAATAACAAAATACCTAGCAAGCAGTTTTCTTCAGAACAGAGAAAAGAAACTAGGGCAAATCCATTTTTTTTTTTTTTTTCCCCTGCTCTGCATGACAACTATCTATGCCTCTTCAGTGGTCTCCTAAATCTCATCTCAGGTGACCCTAGTGAGCTAATCACCTTTTCTCTCATCATTAGCCACAGAAAAGAGTAATCCATCCTGTGACCCATCCCTCTAGGCTCCTGTAATGCTTAGGTTGTTGGGAAGAAGTTCTAAGTCCACCCTCCTAATGGGGAAGATTATAGACTTAGGTGAAGCAATTAGAGCTGTTTTGCTATGTTTACTTCTTCCCTTGCCAACAGGATGGGAAAGCAAAACTCCTGCACATCATTTCAAGCACTCTTCCGTCAGCAGCTCTGCTGAAAAGATTTGCCCCTCCTTGTTGCTGTTCTTTTTTGGTGGGGTGTTTTTTATTCCAGACCACTTTCCCAAACTGATTAATCACAAAGATTCACCAACAGCTGTAGTGCCATGCCCAAAGAGGCAGCAGAGCGTGAGGGGCTGCTTCAGCTGACACCCCCTTACAAAGGGCTGCTCAGGAAACCCTCAGCTTGGGGCACAAACCCCCCAACCCCACCCTGCAATGCATCTGTCCCTCAGGAGCTGATAATTAGGATGGACTTTCTAAATCCCATAATAAGCAGCAGAGATAGGAGCAATGGTCACAAGGAATGCCCAAAGGGTGTTAGGAAGCTTGCAGGCTTTTATAAATACAATCTGTTTTGCAGTCTGTTGGAGGGAGGTGGTGGTGTGCTCTGCAGCTCTATTTGTGTATCTATCTGTGTTTAACATTTAGGTAAGCACCCTGCAGAACTGCATATTTTTGTGGGAAGAAGAATTAGCAGTCTTAATTACTTTTCCAGTCTTATCTTTCAGACTTTCACAATGCAGAACGAGTAAGTGAGCTGACTTTCAGAGGAAGAAAAAGAGTGATTTGAAGGGCAATGGCCCTGAAGCTCTTGATTCCTTTATCAAGTGAGAAACAGAGGTGAAAAATAAGCAGGTCAAAAACATCAATAATGTGCCCATCCAAGAGAATAGGTACAACATTTATATGGCTGATTGAAATTTATTAGGAAATTCAAGCTTTATTATAATTTAAAAAAAAAAATTAGCACATTAAGGTTTATAGATACTTGAAACAGGAGAAGTGTGCTAATTTAATAAGTACCATCAGCCTTTTAATGTTCATGCAAACATGCCTGAAGATTTCTCATGCAAGAAAGTCTGCCCACAGGAAACTACTGGATGCTTCTGGATATGTGCAAGGGGTTCAAAAGAGCCCAGGTACTTAAATTGGAGACAAATAAGTTAACTCCCCAACCATTATATCTTTGTAATTTTAATATAACTATGCAGCTACAATTTTGTTTCCCAATTTTTTATTTTAAATTTATCCAGGATGCCAAGCCTTGAAGAGAAGGTAAAACAAATAGAAAAGGACAATGCAATTTCATAATGAAAAAGTTTCTTGGAGTTTTGTAATGGCGAGAACTTTAATATCAATTTCAAAGGTGAGCTTGTGAGCTTATTGGCGACTCCCATTTAAGATATCATGAGTGATATGTGTAAAGTCATGCGTGTTGCTTTGAGCATTGGGCTAAACTCACACAGTTGACTGCATTCACCAAAGTCAAAACATGTAGGGATAAGAATTGGTGCGTTTAGAGCTATCCTCAGGGAAAAGTGGATGAAACCACCAGAGGCAATGCTCATTTGTGAAGCCAGGAAGCAAATGAACAGTTAATAGATTTTCATTTGCTATGTAAGTGAAATGTAACTGCTAGTGTACCAGTTGCAATCATGCTGGCAGGTGTTTAATTGCTTATGCATATTTGAGACCCAGTTGCTTCATTACAGAAGTTTTACTTCACCACTGAGACTGCTGAGTGAATAGCAAGTGTCCCCAGAAGCCAGCAAAAATTTGAATAGCTGCCAAGAGTAACTCACCAATTTCCAAAAAATAAAGGAGTAAATGTTAGTCTTGATAGGAGATTGCAGGAGGAAGGCTGGCAACAGATACAACATTATGTCACAGGTTAGTTGCAAAACTGTGCATCATCTATTTTATTTTTTCCTTTGTTCTCAAAATGTAGTAAATACAGCATTAAAAGTCTGGACTTAGTGCCAGGTACTGCTACTGCCTGTCTGTACATTGTCAGCAGAAAAGGGTTCCTGTCTGGTAGAAGTTTTGATGAGCTACTTGCAAAATGCATAAAAATTAAGCTCAAAAGCATTCACTAGGATGTATTGGCTACTTACAGAAGAGTCATTGGTGCCAAAGATGTCTCGCACATCCCGGACTGTGTGCTTGTTCTTCTTCCTCAGGGTCTGAGTGTAGGTGTTGTACCTCTTCTGTACGGCGGCAGCTTGAGTTCGTGTCAGAGTGGACAGCAGGGCTTGGCCATCCTCCTCTTCAGCTCCCGAGATCAATGTAGATAAACCTACGTCTTGCAGCCATTCTGCCTCCAGCTCCCCTTCTGTGGAGGAAGAGAACTTGTTACCAGGCCTGGCACGGGAGGGAGAGGGGGCCGAAGGGAGGTGGCACAGTGGACCGCTGCCTTAGCCTTTACCTTGAGAAGACTCCACTTCCAATCTTTCTTAGGCCACAAGTGCAAGTTAATTTAGTTCTGTCAACATACTGCCAACTTTCTTTGGCAGTCTCTGCACAGGAGAGTCTTAGGAGAAGAACAGAAGAGGTATTTTTAACCTGTGCATCAACTCATTCATGTGAAGAAGGCAGTAGGGTGCCTAGCCTGACACAGCACGGTCACTAAAAACTAATCCCTCATTCAAGAGCATAAATCCCCTTGGTTACCATTTATACCATGTTGTACTGGATGAAGCCATTTGGCAGGTGAAAATTAAATTGGTATTCCAATTAAAATAAGCAAAAATACTGGTGTATACAATAGAATAATGTATTTGCACACTAAGGATGAGATTTGAGATGCTAGAGAGTCAGATGGTAATGAGACACCTGGTGAAGATGTCACACTGAGAGAAATGTGATGTCCACCTAATCCCATAGCCTGTTTTGGACAAGATGGTTAAGAGCCAGAGCCACTCACTAAAGAGCAAAGGTCAGGCAGGGCTAGGTATCAAGGAGGTCAGGTAGGGATGGAAGATGCAGAAATAGCTATCCTTGCATGCTAGGTATCATCCTGATTTCTAATAAATAAAGATTGGCTAGCACTCTATACCCAGGATTTCTTGATATCCTGATTAGTAACTAATACCTTCTTGAATCCTGTTCAAAACCTGTTTCTTAAATGGTTCAACACAGCAACTGGTTCCATACTGAGATTATGCATGGAGTGAAAAAGTATTTTCTTTCCTCAGATTTCAGCTTGCTACCTGGTACATTAACTGAATATCCCTGGTCACTGTAGGACAGGGAGAAGCTCCCAATCTACCTTCTCTAAATCACTTAGTAATTTTAAATTTTGCTGTCATTACATTTTTATTTGTCTGCTTTTTAAAGTACAGAGTCACAGTCTTTTAAAATCTCTCCTCACATAGGAGATTTTGAGGGCCGCCTTTTTAATTCTGTCCGTGAACAATCCTAGCTCAGCAATACGCTGTTTGAGACAAGACAAAAATTGCATTCCAGCTTTGACTGAAGGGGAGGTATTACAAATAAACATGTCAAACAGGAAATGGATTAATTTGCAGCATATTCTATAAAACAACTAGTCAATGTGCTTATTGTTCTTCTCCCAGCACTGGTCTTAATGGCAGGTTGGTATTTCCACTCTCCCTTTATTGCCTCTTCTTGACACCAGAATGGAGACAGATTGATGGATACCAGTTTGCTGCACTTTGGCAGTTAGATACACAAAAAAAGAAAATCACAGGGCCGGACTGTATGGACAAGTGAAAGCATCTTACACATGTGCCTTCATTGACTTCATTGTTAACTGCCTTGTCTCTCTACAAAGCTCTACAAAAAATATCTGCTTCTAAAACTCCTGCTTTGTGTTAGATGGGATGTGACCAGCCCTGTATCTCATGAAACAGCTTGTCTCTGCTCTGATCCTTTCTGTATCCATAGATAGGATGACAGGCTGTTCCTTTCCCTCCTTGAACCAATGGTTCTTCTGCCATCCTCACTCTTCTTTCTTACAAGGTCCCTTTTCATTTCCCTGTGCTGCTGTTCTAGCCACATCCATTTGTGTTCCAGTTTCTTAATTATATTCATTTTGTCTTTTGGCCTGACATATTCTTTCCAAGAATTTAGTTTTTAATCAAACTTGGCTTTCATGATGCTATGAAAAATAGTAAAGCAGACATGAAATTGTGCCTTGTTACCAGCCACCCCTGTGATTTGTTTTCTCTGGCTTTTGCCCTTTTCCTGTTCCAACCACTTATAAACAATGGACTAAGAAATAACGACAACAACCAGAGGAGTAAAACTATTAAGGAGAAGGAATTTCTGCATAAAAAAAAAAACCTCAAAATTTTATGACACATAGGTTTAAATAAGGGCTAAAAGAAAAACATGTTTTACAAATAATTATTTTTATAGTGGTAGCTACTTATACAGCAGGGCCTTGATACTGTGTTTGATTCTGCTCTGCGAGAAGACAAACAGATAATCAAGAGGATTCCCTCTGGCTGGTAATTCTCTTTTTCACATAGAGATTGCTAGGAAAGAGGTGTGTCTTTCTTTGAAATTCAGATATAACCTCAAATAACTCCCAGCCTCCCAGCCTTGTAACACCAAGTGTCAAAGCAGTTCTGCACATCACTGCCATCTTAAATACTGCATGACTTCCTCTTCCCCTATATTTTCATCCCTTGTATCACTTGTTATGATCTTCTGTTCTTTCTTGACTGTAGTTACTAACGTCAACAGAGTAAGTGTGCTGATGTCTTCCCCTCGCACATGTGGTCTGGCAAAAAAAACAGTTTTGTGGTTTTGACAATATCAGTGGTCCCTGGCTGCTATCACCCTTTGGCTTCCTTCTTAAGGATTCTGCATCTCTTCCTCTCAAAGACATCTCAAAAGGGTGGCAATTTATTTTTTTTTATTTTGCCCTGAGGACTTCCACATTGATTTTCAGTGTTCTGATCCTTGGGAAGGAGTATTATCGTATTAGGAGCTTAATAGAACTCATTATTATTTCCAAGATTTATAATCTCAGACTGAATATATTTCTGAAGTTAATAACTAGAACAAGCACTACCTGGTGCTGTGTAGGTGTATGCAATATATATGTGTTTGAAATAACAGTATGAAGGTAAATGAAGTGTGGAGATGTATTGCATTTTACCTTGCAGTCTTATTTTTAATTCAGGACAGAGGGGAAAAAAATCAATGCAATGTAATGAGGTGTAAGCAGACAAAGGGTAACAGAGAACTGCAGCAGAATTTGCACTGTTGTGAAGATTTAGCTCAGAAGTGATGAAACTGATGGAAAAGTTTCTGAGAACATGGAAAATGGGCTTCTGTATTGCCTTGTCCTACTAACTCACAGATATGTGACATTCCCCTGACCGTGCAGACAAGTCAGGGACACCCAGTTCACACTGACAATTACTTGAAGGACACACTGAGAGATTCACAATCACTTTCTGGGGTCTCCAAGCTAGAGAGCATGATCACACAGGAATTTTCCCAAATAAGGTCAAACTGATTGACGCAGATTTTTTTTCTGCCTTCCCATAACAATAACCATAAAGTTTCAGTGTTACACCTTGATTTATTTTTATTTGAGAATACAGGCCAGCACAAAGAAGTGCAGTTTGGATTTAAGCTGCCAGACCATAACCCACAGAGCAGACCGACACTTCTGGTGAACAGAGGCCTTCTCCTTTTGCTTCCAGGAGAGCCCTGCCTGGAACTAGAGAGTGGGAGGTGTTCCCCATGGAAACAGTACATGGTTGGAGCTAGATACCTCTGTGTGGGATACTTACCATGACTGGTTACCTATTTGGTTGCTTAATAAAGTAGCACCCTTTCCCCCTTTTCACCCTTCTTCCTGGAAGCAGAATTAATGACATCCCATTGCACGTCAAGGTAAGAAAAATACATCGTCACTCGTGTTAATAATTGTATAGAAAGAACACACCATTGTTTCAAAATCTATCCCTAGATCAGTAGCTACCAAACTAGCGGCCATGATCCACAAAAGGGCTGCAGCAGTTATCAGTGGGTCATGACCTCAAAAGAAATTCTGTTTCATCCTATAGTAACACCTGATATTTTGTGTTGCACAATATAATGCATTTGTAAGTCGGGTCATAACTGGAAAAAAATGAGAACTGCTGTTCTAGATGTTATGAAATCATCTAACACAAAGCTGCATTGCAACAGGCTAGTGCAGACTATTACATGTTTTTCCAAATACATTATGAAAAAGAAGAGGGGGAAACGTTAAAGTAACAGAATGAGGTAGTAATACCTTCAGCATAATTTGTATAAGTGATGAATGAATTTTGACAAGTGGGGAGTCTGAATGATGTAGGCATCCATATAGTCAGACTTATTTAATCTTCTCTTGAATTGTTTCTAAATTGGGCAATCTCAGAGAAACAGGCAGTTACCGAATTTCCGATATCAGCAAACGATATCTAACTAAAAACTGCTTCAAGACTTTCCTAGCTTCTGCATCATATCCTACCAAAAGCCAGAAAGTTGAAAATTCCAGTATACTAAATGAACTTTTTTGCTCTTTTGTATGTTTTGGTTTATTTTATTTAATGCTGCAGATGAAGTTTTCATTTAGTGCCTATCTCTTCTGAATTACACCATATCTGTCCTCTTGAAGTACAGATAAAATTGGTGCAAAAAAACCTACTTCAGAAGTCAATAACCAGCACCAGTGCATAAACCAGACTGAATTATTGTTTCTCTCGTACTGTGACATTCAGAATTAGAGCTAGAATGACCATAGACCCAGCCTAGCATTTTTGCTCATACTGGATGACAGTAGGAAAGAGACCAGGGCATCACTAAAGAGATAAGGCAAAGCCAAGGTGTGAGGAAGAAGTGGTGTTCATGTGCTTACCATCAGCAGGTTTGAACTCCAAGAGCGTTGCTTCTTCAGATCCATCTTCACTGCTCTCCTTGATGCTCTCCACTTCGCACCAGAAGTCCTCCATGGAGGTACTGTCCATGGAGGCCTGTGAGTTGGAGCGACTGAATGCAGGAGAAGGTGCCGACTCATTGGAAAGCATCCTGTTAATTCTTCGACAACGAGGGAGAGACTTTCTGAAAAGAGATAGAGATGAAAATAAAAATACTCTCTTTCCATCATGCTAACTTGTACCATGCAGACAAAGCATGCAACTAGGGCTTCGACTGTGACTGTACCAGGGAGCAGGGAATGAGATGTTGGAGGCAAAGTGCACTGTTCTGGTGGTCTTCATGATCTCTGTTGCTCATAACATTTATGGCTGGAAATTTATTTTGCATCTAATAGTTTATCTCTTTAATACCCTTCAGTGGTTTACACCATACAGGGGGACTCAGGAGATGCAATTTGTGTTTCTAACACTGATACCCATCTAATGAGACACTGGAAAATTATTTTAACTTCTCTGTGTCTCCATTTCTCTTTCTGTCCCTTCCTGTTTTACTTACTGGCTGAAACATTTCAGTGCAAACTTCTTTGGGGAAAAATAATCCGACTTGGGAACCCTGAAATATTTTACAAATTCATGTTGGCTCCAGAAAAGAATGAAAAACTTGAAATATTTTGATTTAGAAGAATAATTACCTTTTATTTGAAAATCTTTTTAAAATAATCCATTTTAAAAATGAAATTAAAATAAATGAAATCTTAACAAAATTTGTCTTTGAAATGAAATAGTATGTTTTAAGCCAAACAGAAGGTTTTGATCACAGGTTCAAAAAAATTATGATTCACTAAAAATCAAATTTCAAGTTACAATTCAATACAGTGATGGAATCAAAACGAAGAAGTTATTCCTTACTCCTTTGTTCTTGTCTTTTCCCACTGTAAATTCTTGCAGCTCAAGACAGTTATACAAGTTCATACAAAATCTTATAAAACACCCACCACAAAAGTCTTGTCTGACTTTGCTCTTTCACATTATTACGATTGCAATACTGTAAGCAGCCTTTGTAAGTGTAATTACAGTAGTTACAGTAAACAGTAATAATAAACACAACAATATTTGTACAAAGGAGTCAGGAGGTAATGTAATTATGGCAGAGAGCTAGACTACAGGAATTAATGGAAAATTCTGTCTTGTGGCCTTCACTTATCTGAATTAATTCAAATGCAGTTTCCCTTTCTCTTCCTTTTCTTTATGGCATCATCCTGCCAACAGGCCTTTGTTTAAAACCACAGGCATCACTTTTACTCCACTAAAAAAAAGGATATTTCCTTTTCAGTACTTCCCTCCTTGTCAAAGTTTTCATAATGGATGTATAAACAATATATTATTTAATAAAGCCGACTGGACGTGCTTTTCCCTCTTTGTGCTGCTGCCTCTGCTGCATCCCACCTCGTCAGTGAAGGGCTGGCTGCTTCCCTGAGGCTCCTGGAGACTCCTCACTTTGTCTGGGTGGTCCCAGGCAATTCCTTCTGGGTTAGGTCTGAGCCCCAGGTTGGGGAGCTGCAGTGGAAACAATGGAGCATAACAAAGCCAGCTGTGGACATTATCAGTGTTTTAAAAAGGCAAAGCTCAGGTCTTTGCCCCTTTTTGAACACAGGGAGGTGTCATACGGACGATTCAGTTGCCAAACCTGCCCATGTGCTTTTGGTCAGCTGCTGGGAAGCAAAGCTTTCTGACGGGTGACAGTATTTCGGCAGAATAAAATGTACTATGGTGCTGTGGAGACACGTCCTCCAGGAAAAGAAATGCTATCTTCAGTATTTCTATCCTTTTTTTCCTCATAAACAGCAAATGATTGTTTGCTTTTAAATATAGCGCTGAAACTGTTATTGTTTTAGTTTGAACAAGCCACGGTCACCAAATCTGAAAAGAATTTGTGACACAAGTGTGGTTAAAGCTATTTGAGTGCTTTCCATGTAGCTCTCCCTCTGGGGAGACGTGAGCGTTTCAGTTGGCTTTTGTTTGCAAAGCCTCAGATGACTGGGGTACCTGATAAATCATAATTACTGGAATTATGTGTCTGGACGTGTCAGCCTCTGTTTTTTTTATGGATTCACCTATCTCTCTTCCCTGCATTGGCATCAGCAAGGAAAAAGAAAATGCAAGTCTCACAGGACTTAAATATAATGAGTTAATACTGAACCAAGCGTCCCCAAGCAGAGTTTTTAATGAGCAGCAGCAGAACCCCTGAGAAGCAGCCAGAAAACCCCACCTCTTCAGCTGGGAGCTGATGGGGACGGGGGAAACAGCTCCCACCAGCCAATTGCTTACTGCTGTGAAAAGCTGCACTCTTTTGTTTAAAAGGTGATAGTGAACACAAATAAGGAAAAAGGCAAAACTTCCTGGCACTCTAATGGCATTTGGGGCCCATTTCACCGGGCGCTGTACAAGCAGAGAGAAGCCACGGCCTGGTGTCAGGTGTGGAGTGGGTGCCCATCATCTGGCCGCAACCTGTCCCTCCCTGGCCTCTTTAGCTCGGGGCTCTGCCCACTGAGCAATTCATATCCCTGCTTAGTGTAAACCTTTGTGAAAAATAAGTCCCTACATCTGCTATATAGCACAGCCCAGAGCTCCCACACCAGCAATCATAGGAAGAAATGCTCTCGCCGGCCTGGAATCAAACACGTGCTGGGATGAGAAGAGGGCTTTTTCCCTGATAGCATCACTGGCTCCCATCATTTAGTCATGGTCAAGGAATTTAAACATTTCCTGCTCTCCCAGTGTGAATCTTAACCACGACCCTTGTGCTCTTCATGCACCACACCAGACTGATCCTTGGGCTTTGACTCCATCAGCACTTCAGCTAGCTCAAACCAAGGCTTTTTATTTCACCATATTAGGAAGAAAGAGGCTTGGCGGGTTGTTTCTTTTCTCCCCACAGTGAGTATGTTATTTTGTAATATTACCATACCAAAAAGCTAAATGCAAAACAGACCACGTAACATGGCAACAACTGCTGTGACAACCAGCTTTACCAAATACATCTAAGGTTCCTGGGTAATTAACGTGCATTTACAATATTAAAAGTACAGTGCTTATTTGGAAAATCAGCTGAACAAAGTCTCCTGAGAACCTCATATCTGAGGCTTGTTATCTCAGCCCAGATTAAATCAAGCTGTGTAAAATTCCTGTAACAAGAAAGGTTAGGCAGAGGTTCTTTATCCTTATTGGTAAACAGCTGAAGCTTGCTTCCAGGTGGTCTGGTACAAACCTTCTGTAATTACTCTGAGTCTGCCTATTAAAAGCTCACATGTTTGAAAAGACCTCCAGCTGCCTTTTTGACCTATATACCTGTGGCTTTTGTCCTGGAGGAAGTGGTCTTGCTTTTATGTGATAATGGCAGTTGTCTCCATTTCCTCCAGCCAAAGCTGCTCAAAACAGTTTCAGGAAAAAAAAAAAAAAACTACTTACTGAGGAAGCAAAGCATATTCTTCACCACTTTTAATTCATTCTTGAAGGACACTGAATGAGCACTGACTCAGCAAGCTGCCTGCCTGTCTCAGAAATAGCTGAACAAGCCCAGGTTGCCTGTCGTCTGGGAACTCTCCTAGCTGAAAAACCTATGTTCTGGATACCTTTTTCACCCTCAAGGCTTTCTGGCTTGTTTGTTCTTTTTCTCAGTGTCTGTAGAGAAGTTTACAAGGATAAAATGTTTTCACTAAGCCAAATCTGTTGTTCTTACAGAAAATTTGAAAACCAGTCTTGTTAGGTAAGTAGCAATCATGAAGCTCATGCTCAGTTTCATTTGCTCCCTGTCACATACAGGCAGCAGTGAGCTAATCTGAAAGGCTGACTAAATTAAACATAAGAGGGATCTCAGATTCTGGCTTGCTAGATGGAAAATGCTGGGAGAGAAGGAATAACCTTAAAGCACTGAGCAAAAATTACAGTGACTCCACTGAATGAACTGAAATTGTTTTCAGGGTGGAATTAAAAAAAAACTCCACACAGACACAAACCCAAACCCTTGAAAAAGAAAAGAAAAAGAAAGAAGGGAAAAGTATACTGCAATGGCCAATGTTATCAAAGAACTCCTCTGTTACTGGATATTAGTCACAGAAGAAAGGGTTAAAGAGTGCCAGTAAGGGGAAATATGATGATATCATGTAGAAAGCTTTCTGTGGAAAGATTTTTGCAAAGAAGTAGGGTATTTCCATGGGGCACAAGGACGCTGATTCAACTGTGTGTGATTCTGGTTTTGCCCTGGTGTATGTTTATAACTCTGATGAAATGCAACAGCAAACCAGGCCCACTGAACCTATATTTTATATTCTGTATATCACGCAGAAGTGTGTTGTTCACGGTCTGACAGCACACATTGATTTCAGCATAGCCAAGCCAAATCCAATAAGCAGTTCTTATCCTATCCCCAAAGTGAAGGTTTGTCAAGCCACACGAAGAGCTGGTTCAGTGACACCTAATGATTGCTCACAGGCTGACTAATGATAAAGCCAGGCTTGTGTTTTCAGTTTAATTAAGTGATGGGTGGTAAAGAATCCATAAAACAAATGGGAGCAATAAAGCCATCTTGTAGTTAAAACCAGCATTTAATCCTTGTTTACACAGAGAGATGGGACATCTTACTCGTGTGCATCATTATGCTTCATTTCATTCAGCGGGTTGTGAACCTGCTTCACCACAATTAGTCACTTTTATAGGAATGGGGAAGATGAAGGAAGCAAATTCTCCTGGTCATTTTAGGACTAAGATCCACTTTTTCACATTGCAATCATTCTATCAGTGTAGCCGCTTAATCCAATGAAATCAGTAGTGCTTGAAAAACACAACAGTGGCAGCATGGAATGTTGTTTCCTGTATCCAGATCTTTCTATCCTTCAGTTTATCATAACAATTCACCAACTTCTGACAAAAAATAATTACCCTCTCTCTTCTCAGCTCTTCCCAAATGTAAAAAACGGGATGGTAGTTTGCATTGATAGGGAAACAAAATTTATTCCTCTTTATTAAGAACTATATTTTCCTCTGTTCTGAAATGTTAGCTATCAATCACGTGCCAATATTTCTCTTTTTTTTTCATAAAATGTGTACAAATTCCAGGCAAAGAAAGAGTCCAGCAATTGGAAGTAGTATCTTTGTGCACAGTTCATGGCACAGTTCACTCTTGCC